TCCAAGGAAAAAAAGTCCCCCTTCCCAGAAATGAATCTTCTACAATCACAAGTGCAAGCCTACTCGGACGCATCTGACAGTTTTGATCCTTCAGATGATTCCTTTTTCTCAGATGACTTTCTGGGGCACGCAACTGAAAGTGACCGTCGCCTTCCAATTTCCAATCAGGAAGACATTCGAGACTCTAAATTCAACAGAGGAATATGCCATAAATCTCAATTCATCACCGTGGATAATTGTCTACCAACAGAGAACCTGAATACACAACTCAAGATTTATCAGAAAACTCAGAAAAACAAACGGCGGCACAGCATGAAGACTAGATCACAGTCTAAATTATTTCCTTGGGGCTAGCTTTGTTTTAAAATTTCTTCTGTTATGTGTTTTTTTTTCTTTCTCTTTCTCGCATTGTACTCAATCTTTATTCAATAAAAATCTTTTTGATAAAAAAAAAAGATTAGATCAAAAAATTGAATCCAATTCAAAATATCCTTAAGGTGCCACAACTTCTCCTCCATGACATCTAAATAGCATGGTTTATGCAAAGAGATTTCGATATCTAATTTAACAGTCATAAAATCAAGTACTTGTGTAAAATATACTACATAACATTACTATGGGCTCATGAAAAACGTTATATAGTACATTGAAATTTGAAGTATTTGTACTACTCATGCAATGTACGCTTACATTTCCCACAAGGACAAAGTCAGGATTTCCCACTAAGCCAATGCCCTCTAGAACTCCTATTGCCGAGATGGTTAGAGAAACATAAAGGGTATTCCAAATGGTACTCGAATGTTATTTGCGCGAAAACAACAACCCAAATTTAATGACTTATTTGAAGTCCTTAAAAATTACTCCCTCTGTACATTAAAATCTTTTCAAGTTGTCCATCATGTGGAGTAATTATGTAAAAACCGTGTAATTGAGATTTGTGAACACGAGGAAGAAGTAATAGGAACCATAAATTTATTGATTAAAATGAAATTAGCATTTTTTGGGGACAACCAAAAATAACTTGCTTGAAATAGTTTATCACGCCAACCTTACGAAATCCCCAACATCTTCATTTTAAGGCAATGAAGTGTCATTACACGAACCTAAATCGACTATTGAATGCAATAATAGTATAAGTAAACTTAAGTTTATTATTAGACTTTGAAAGCTACTACTCACTCCGTCTCAACTAAAGATTCTCAATTTCATTTTTTGGTGATCCTACTAAAGGTTCTCATTTTTATTTTAGGAAATACTTATCACTTTCAATGATGATTTAATAAATCAAATAGTAAAAGCAATACATCTTTAACAACCACAATTATATTCAATGGCTCTATTATATTGTATACTCATCAAAATTATTTTTCAAAATATAGTTGAATTATCGGTTAAGAAAATAACGACTAATATCTTCAAAAAAGATGACTACACCCATTTTTCAATAAATAAATTACAAAAGTGTGCAGTTAGTTTTGAAAAAAAAAAAAGGCCACAGATAAAATTCAATGGTTAAAAATATGCATTGATCATTTTGTTGATTATACCTATTTTTAGATAAATAATTTAAAAAAGTGTGTATTTAGTTTTCAAAAAAATACACGTTGGATAAAATTTAATGGATAAAAATAGGGATTGAGCATTTTCTTTTTTTCTTTAGGTAAAGATAGTTGAACATATTAATTTCATTTAGATGCGATTGAGAGTTATAAAAATGGTCTTTTCATTAGAAAATATAGACTGAATAATTTTTAGATAATTAGTTAAAAATTCTCTTTTAATTATAAAATAAAGAGTGCAAAAACGTTTAAATAGTTATTAACTTGTTGTACCTTAAATAGTACAAAGTATTTATTAATTCCAAGTGAGCTCGTAAAAATTAAAAGAAATTATTAAATTACTGTCGTGTTTTGGTTGTACCAGACTTTGATATGACAGTATTTTCCAAATATGGGAGTAATTACTCCTATTCAGGGAGTAAAAACATAATTATCATATTTTGAAATTCTCAAACATTTTATTCCTATTTCGAGAATTGTCTCTAATAATTACAATTGATTATTAATTGTATATGAGTCTAGTAAAATTTAGTTAATTTCATAATTTTTGTTTGAGTGGAATTGTGTAAAAGAGCCTAGTAAATATGTGTTTGAGTAAAATTGTGTTAATCTATGTTATATTAATATTATGTTTTGACATGTCAATCTCGTGTAAGGTGTTTTTAATTGGCCTAAAATTTTCTGATCTGATTTGATCTGAATGGGTCTACTCTGGTACATATTTGTTTTATAAGTATTTTACAACTGTCAAAAGGCTAGCATGGTTTGATCTAGTATGTTCAAGCCTGGTCTGGTCTGAGATTGAAACTAATCCAATTTAAAACATCCTAACTATTCTAAAAAAGGCGGAAGCATATATCTAGGGAGAAGAAGATTTCAATCAAATAATTATTGAAAGAATAAGGAGTATTGATTACCCTTGTAAAACAATTATAATGGTTGAAATCCCAATTAAATAAACTTTATTTAGATTTAGTATAATCATTTCAATTTAATTTTTTATTATGAAAAGAACTGATTTAGTTTAATATTTATTTCAATTTATAAGTTTTGATTCTAAACTAAATTTAACAGTTTGAGATGAACTATATCTACTTGGTTAAATAGTTCAACTTTTATTTTAACATATTTAAATATTTAACTTACCGGTTACCAGGAAAGGTATGCCTGAAGTTTAATGGCTAAAAAGAGGCATTGAAAAAGTATTAAATGGAGATTTGTTATATACTGCAGTTAGTATTTTGATTTTTTAAGTTCTTAGTGAATCATATGATTTTGATTATTTTATCAAACCATGATTATAAAGTAATTTAGCAGTGAAAAATCATAGAGTAATGATTTTAACAATAGTTGTGTAGCTCTCTTTAATGGGTGTTAATACATGAAAGAGATTTTGCCAAAATGGCATGATGAAATGAGTTTGAAAAGTGGGGAGAAGAATTCATATGGAATAATATAATGATAAAGGTGTAACCTTGGATTTAGAAAAATTGTGTATAAAAAGAGTAGTGAGATCGTGTTAATTTGTGTTTGAGTAACAATTCTATTAGTAAGAGTCTAAAATTTCTATAAGCAGTGAAATTGTATGTGAGTACAATTGTTTTAATCTATGTTTCAGAGAATATCTATTTTCACATGCCAATTTGATTGAAATATTCGGGTCTAATCTATCTGATCTGATATGTTTAAGTATGGGTTAGTCTGATTTGACCCGAACTAATTTGATACATGTTTGTTATATGTGTACTTTGCAACTGTCCAATTCTGACCTGGTTTAATCTAATTTGATTTGTCTTTTTTATTCTGTTATAAAATTGATACCGGTCCAATTAAACCAATAAATAAAAGTGATGGAGTTTGTGCAATTTTATTTTAAGCTATCACTCTGAATTAAGGGGAAAATAATAACTATCTCAAATTTTGGATGTGTGAGAAAATACCCCAAATTTGCATATGCAATATATATAACCCAAATTCTATATAAAAATTTATTTTTCACCATGATTATATGATTTTTAAAAATATATTTTTATTGCAATAAGTACATAATTTAAAATACTCTAATTTATTTTTGGATGCAAATATGCAATTAACAATAACAAAATTCATTTGTAAAATAAATAATATCACATCCGGTTCAATATAATTTTAATTACATTCTCATAAGTATTTTGTGTATTTAAATTATGTAATTAACACTGTAAAATTACATGTGTGAAAAATTATGTGGTAATGGTGCCAATATAATTTGGGGTACTTACTTTACACTCCTTCAAAGTTAGAGATATTCAAATTAGGATGTTTTCTTTTGGACTATTTTCAGTCCCAGACCAAACCAGAACAAATCAGACCAGACCAGACCAGACTTGACTTCCGTAGTTATAAAATACACAGAGACCAGACGTTTTCCAGACCTGACCAGCAAATTTCAGTCCAAAAGAAAATATCCTTAATAGTGTGTATGGTAAAAAAATGATCTAAACTGCACAAATGAATTGAACTATTTTTTTTTTAATTTTATATATGCAACATTAATGACATATGAAAGATAATAAAAAGTTATGAATTATGATATGTTTTTTTGTAACCGTCAGAGTACAAATAAAAATATTATATTTCATTTGTCCTGTTAAGATTGTCTCATTTTTGCTTTTCGGGAAATCCACTAAGATTGTCTCATACCAAATTCAGTAAAGTTTATGTGGCTTTAAATCATTTTTACTTTATTCTTACTTTATCAATTCAATATCAACCACATAAACTCATTTTTCTAAAAGTGTTGAAAAAAAAGTCACGATTTAGGTATATTTTTTGTAACAATCATAGTACAAATAAAAAGGCTATATAACTTTAAAAAACTTATGTTTCTAAAGTGTTAAATTACTTTTTAGTTTTATATATCAATATTGATGTCATTTGAAAGATAATTAAAAATTATGAATTTTGATATAGTTTTTATAACAATAAGAGTATAAATCAAAAAGTTATAACAGTTCAAAATAAATTGGGATTTTGTTTCGGTGGGATCCTAAATAATAGGAGTTTATGTAGCACAATTACGATTCCTAAATGGGATACGTATCATTACTTTGCATAATTTCCTTTAATTTGGAAAGTAATTTAAAAAAATAATAATTGTGGAATTCACATGTGTCAATAGTTTCCTTAATTGTAACCTTCAAATGTTTTATCTATAGATGTTTGCTTAGAAGATGATACATGGCAAAACTTTCTATAATTACTATCTTTCAAATGTATTATCTATAGATATATATCATTTTTTTTATGTATTGATCCCTTTATTCTGGGATGATTTTTTTTATTGTCTAACAGTTGGCTTAAATTACTACGTAGTACTCCGTATTACAGGATTACAGCAGTAGTAAAACTACAAAAGAACCAGCTATATAACTCGTATCACGAACACTATCTAGTCTGGTAATAATAGAATAAGAATGGTGTTGTGGTCGTATCCTTCAACTCCAAAGCAGCTCTCTCTCACTCTCTGCGGTATCTTCGTCGGAATCTCTTTCATCTCCGCCGGCGCTTACCTCTCCTACTCCAACATCGGCCCTCAACAAGCCCGCGTTAAGGCCCGAAAGGACTACGTCAAATCACGTCTCAGGCGGCTCCTCCAAGATTAGTTAGTGCGGAGTAAATTGTTCCATACATGTTTCCGAATGCTGTTCTTCACCTTTTCGGATTTCTAGGTACTCTAATTAATTTTTTCCTGCTAGCTTTTATGTTTTTGCTTCCTTCTTCTGTTGTTGGAAACAGGGATTACGCATTCATTCTTAAATATGATTATGGAGGGGTGTGTTTGAGAGGTTGTTTTGGAGGGGTGGGGAAGGTTGATAGGGTTTATGACCTCCTTTCCATGTTTTGAAGTTTATAAAACAGGAGGACTCATGTGGCCCTCCAAAACAGCTCAATTTTTGAGTTCCCCAATTTGGAGGGTTTTGAAGAATAATTAACAAAATGTTAATTTAACCTCAATTAGAAATAAATATCAATTGATTATTTGAATGCGTCATCTCAAAGTGATTTTAATTATAATTCATTCAAAAACTCTCACTCCTCTCCCTTTCCCCTCCAACAACATACCAGGCTTCCCCTCCCCTTCCCTCCAAACTCCCAAACATACCCTTAAAGTTTCCCTTGCGTGTGAAGAGTAGAGAGCAATGGAGCAAGGATTTAAACTAAATTGCACAAAGTATGGGGGTTTAGAGTTACGAAATCTGGAGTAGAGATTGAAGAAAAGAGGTGGGGAAGCAGGGAAAATTATAGGAAGAAAGGTTCTTTTTCTTCATTCATCACATGAGGAAACAATTCAATCGTATTGCTTCAATCCTTGTAGGTTAAAAATGAAAAGTTATAAATTGGGATCTCCAGCTCAGCATATGTTATCAGGATGTATTAGATTTAGCCTGGTGATTTTTATCAAACCTTTTCTTTTAAGTCCCTGCACTCTGCATTCTTTATAGATTCTTTACAGATATGCTGGCCTTTTGTCTTATTTATATTTTACCTCAATTCTTACACAATATTTGAATCTTCTCAATTGGATATTAGGATTCAAATGTGTATAGTAATTCTGTAATTGTAAGTCAAAGTTACAATATGAAGGAAGAAACAAGTAAGCATTTCTACAAGTTTACATTCATCTTTCTTTGATCAAGTGTTTTCCAGTGGACATTGGCTGATTCTTTGTCCTCCGTTACTGGCAATTCAATAATTTGGTACAGGATTCTTGATCTTTCTTGTTACAGTGTAACTGTCTTATTGGTGCATCATCTGGAGCAACTGTACGCATCTAAGAAGCACCCACACTCACGTTTCCCCTTTTTGAAACTTGCTGGAAACCCGGACACCTGGAAATTTAAAAGTCTCATTCCAGGGCTGTTTCTGTAATTAAAAAGAATCGGGAAATTCATTTCGCTAAATAATTAGCTTTTCAGAAAGTTCGGGAGTCCATTTTTCTTCTTCTTTAGGGAAAGTAGTGTGTATATTTTTTTAAAATAATAGTGGTTTTCTGGGATTTTTTCTTTGCAAAATCGTGATATTTCATAACACAGTGCATTGCTAGAAATGTATTGTATTTTTTAACTAATTATATACTAATATGTAATAATTTCTAAATTTGAACATGGGGACTCTATTTATTACTGTTTCCCCATGTTTTGTATCCTTTTTTTAATCTCATTTGTCATTTCACGTGTCCGTGCTGCGTAGGTCTGCATAAGTTGAATATGTGTTTGTCCATTTTGTACCCCGTTGAGTTTTTGTATTTGAATTGGTGACATGAATAGGTATTGTTTATGTTCACTATCACCAGCTATTGGGAGTTGTGACCTTCATTTGTTTGTGTTTGTGTTATATATACATGTGTATTTTAGTATGCATATATGTGTCTGTGTGTATCCTTCCTTATAGGAGCATATGCTAAGATATGAAGCTTGACATGTTTCGTTTTCTACTATGCTGTTTTCGAGTGTTGTGAACCACTGATTTCTATTTATACCAGTATTGATCAGGACTAAATGCTTTCTGGTCTCAGGCAGTTCACAAAAACACAAAAATCAATAAACCTGTTAGGCTGTCAGCTTTGGATTGTAAGTTTCATAACCGTATCTCCCACCCGCCCAATTTTTGCTAATTTTGATTCTTGAAAAATCTACTGTCTTCCTTGCATGTCATAACCAGACAACGTTGTGCTCTATGGAAAGCACCCCACAATCAAGTGTCCAAATGCCACCTACAGTCAACCTTACACGGGCATATACACTTGCTGTTCAAACCCCCTCTTTTAGTGAGATATGGACCAAGTTTCATCATGACACCATTTCTGAACAGAATATTGATGTAGCTGAACTTAATTTTGAGGAGGAAACCGTGAAATTAGAGGATGTACTTAAACTAAGTCATGATGATATAGAGTTTTTTTCTTAAATAATGCTAACAAACAAAATATTTTCATAATTGATGTTGGGTCAAAATTATTTCCCAATCTACTGCTCCACAAACTCTAGTTACACCATGGGAAGCCTACGCATGACTACCGTAGGGGTCACTGAAAAGCACACCACAATTGGTAGAAGAGCAATGGTGGGACCCAATAAAATAAAACATCCCATTTTTCTTAGAAATGCTATAACTTTTATATTTATACTCCGATTTTTCAAAACAATATATCATAATTCATAACTTTTTATTATCTTTCATATGACACCAATATTGTATATATAAAAAATAAATAATAATTTAACTCTTTAAAAATTTCATGTATTTTAAAGTATTAAAACTTTTTTTATTTGTATTCTGATTGTTTTAAAACATACTCTCTCTGCCCCCTATAATTGTCTTCTTTTTCACTTTTGTGTGACTCTAATTCATTCTTACTTTATTTGCACTTTATCAACTCATTATTAATCACATAATTCTATTTTTCTTAAAAATCACACCACTTTCTTATGTTCCAATATTAGGGGGCGGAGTAGTATATATAAAAAATTTCATAATATTTTATTATATTTTATATGACACTAATATTTCATAGGTAAAAATAAAAAATAATTTGGTACTTTAAGAAATTTTTAGAGTTATACCTTTTTAGTATAATTTGGTACCTTTTCTTTAAAAATTTCTGGATAATTTGTTTTAGTGTTATACCCTTTTGACTAATAAATACATAATTTATCACGTTAAAAAAATCTCAATTATTTAAATTGCTATTACTTTTTTATTTGTAGTCTAATCGTTACATATAATATATCAAAATTCATAACTTTAAGAATGAGCACGAGACACTACGAGGCGATTATTTTAAAAAGAGTGTCTCAATTCAAAGTACGGTTCTTCTGAAAATTATAGAACCAGTACCCTCGAATATGTATAGAACATGTCCCGTTCTGTATCAATTTTTTATACGGATGGATATAGTTCTTAAGTACTCCCTCTCAACTATTGAACTTTGTCAACTTTCGCTTTTTGATTATCTTAAAAAATATACATAGTAGTACTTTAAAAATTGTGAACTTTTTTAAAGTGCTAAATTATTGTCTATTTCTATATATGAAAATTAGTAACAAATGAAAGATAATAAGAAATTATGAGTTTTGATATACCTGGAGTACCAAAAAAGGTATAACACTAAAAAAATTATTAGAGTACCATATTTAATTATTTTTACTATGAAATATTAGTGTCATATAAAAAGAAATAATAAATCATTATGAATTTTGATATATACTACCTCCACCCCCTAATAATTAGACAGGATGAAGTGGTATATTTTTTAAGAAAAGTAGAATTATGTGGTTGATAATGAGTTTATAAAGTGGTAATAAAGTAAGAATGAATTAGAGTCACACAAATGTTATATTAACAAATATGACGTGTGACATTAATAGGGGAACTTCCAAAAGTGGAAAAATGGAATAATTATAGGGGGCGGAGAAAGTATGTTTTAAAACAATCAGAGTACAAATATTTTTTTAATACTTTAAAATACATGAAATTTTTAAGGTGTTAAATTATTATTTATTTTTTATATATACAATATTGGTGTCATATGAAAGATAATAAAAAGTTATGAATTATGATATATTGTTTTGAAAATTCGGAGAATAAATATAAAAGTTATAGCAATTTTAAGAAAAATGAGATTTTTTATTTTATTGGGTCCCACCATTGCTCTTCTACCAATTGTGATTGCTTTTCACAACTCCTTCGGTATTCATGCGCGGGCTTCCTATGGGCTAACTAGAGTTTGTGGAGCAGTAGATTGGGAAATAATTTTGACCCAACATCAATTATGGAAATATTTTGTTTGTTAGCATTACTTAAGAAAAAAACTCGATGATATAGAAGTAGCACTTTCTGAAATAGGAGTTGACAATTTTTCCCAACTTGTCTTTAACTTCTTTAACCACAGTGAGGAAACGGCCCGGAAATGTCTGTTTCTTTCTGAAAGCATCCACCATGCTCGCCGCTTATATGACCCTCTGGATAAACTTATTGATACTGTAGATAAATATTCCCTTTCGCAAGACCAATGTGATGCAGCATTCGACGTATTTCATCAAATTGACAAAATTGAAAATCCATTCCCCGGGTCCAACAGCATTTTCAACGATATGCATAATTGCTACTTCCAACTGAAGAAACAGATTGACCTTCTGATTGGGAATTCACGCTCAAAGCTTCAGCTTCTCCGTCATGCAACCAGATGTTGTACCATATGCTTTCTTGTTGTTGCTGTCGGAGTGGCCACCTGTGCTATTCTGATCGCAACTCCTGCTCTCGTTATCCTTTTTGCTACCCCAGTCTGTCCTACTTTCTTTCCTGTGAAGATAAACAAAAGAGAATCGGCTCGTCTGGTGCAGCTTGATGGTGCTTTGAGGGAAACTTTTGTGCTCGACAATTACCTTGAGACCCTTGATTGTTTAGTTGATCCTTTGCATAATTCAGTGGAGGACCTTAAGCGTGATGTTCGGTTTGTGCTTGAGAGAAGCATGGACAAATATATCTTTCAGGCGGTTCTCAAGCAACTGGAAAGAAAGAATCAGAAGTTTGTAGACCAACTTATTTGTCTTGAGGTGCACTTATGCCTATGCTTTACTGCTATAAACCGGGCTAGATCTGTCCTTTTCAATTATCTACTTTTTCATCAAATTCATCCATCTTAACATTCATATCTGTTTCCCTTTTTGGTTTGTGAAAAGTGCTATTATGTTGAACTTTGAATTAGTTAAGGCTCCCAAAAGTTGTAGTTTCACAACACATAAACACATTCAAGGGGCAGTGACGTCACACCATACGTAAATTCATATTCAAACAAGGAGAAGGCATGAGGCTTGGAAAATAAAGGAGCAAAAGTATCAAGGCATGAGAATATGATGGAATAAAGCAAAGGAAAAATTAACAGTAATAATCCCAACTATTGGTGGTCCGCTCATAATAATCTCAACTGTCGATTATCTCAGAATATTCCCAACTTTAGAGACCTCCCGCCAATAATGGTCCGGCGTGACCGACTATAAATAAATTTCTATAGTTTCTAAAGTGGATGAGAAGAGATATAACATGTAATCCCTATAAATAATCCCAAATTTTAATTTTCACTCTTAATTTTTACTCTTAATATCCGGTCATGGACCATTATTGGTGAAGAGTCCATATAGTTGGGATTATACAAAAATAATCAATAGTTGGGATTATTGTTAGCGGACTGGCAATAGTCGGGATTATTATTTTCAATTTTTCCTTGCTAAAGCAAAATGACTCACTAAACTGTCTGCGCTTCTTTGTTATGAAGCAGCAGTCAGTCCATGCAATTTTGGACGCGATTTTCACTATGGGTCATCCGGAAACAGTTTCTCTGCGCTTTAGTACAGGGGTAAGACTGCGTACATCCGACCCCCCTTACCCCACCGTAGGTGGGAGCCTTGCGGCACTGGGGTAAATGAAAATGAAATGATGAAAATGAAAAGGATCAAGGCATGGTGATATATTTAGAAACCAACAAGAAATTATCAATTGCAGGGTTTTGGTTAATCATGCTGCGAGTTCTGCATTTTTCTTTTGGATTTTGCATCTATAAGGGGTAAGAATGCGTATATCCGACCCTCCCTTACCCCACCGTAAGTGGGAGCCTTTGCGGCACTAGGGTAATGATGATGATAATGAAAGTTGGGATAGAGGATTAAGTTGTCTGCTGATTTTCACCTATTGCATTTTCTTTGTGTTCGTGGCGATCTTTGGTCCATTACACATTGCAGGAATAATTTTTCTAATTTACACATGCAATATCCTGATTAATCGTCTCCCCTATTATTGTTCCCCTATTATTCTGACCAAATGAGAACAAAAACCAACCTAGAAGTGATGTTTTGCACTGGCCATTAAATTTACGCTGCTTAGCTGCTAGTTGAGTTGAGTTCAAAACTCTGTAGAAACAATGACAAATATATGACTGAAATAATGGCACTGGACAAAAATACCACTCAGTGACTATCATAGTTCAACTCTGTCACTATTGTGACTGCTAATATTTAGTGCAGTTTGGCAGGCCTTAATAACAGGACCAGAAGTGGTTTCCATATGATTCCTCAATTATCTGTACTCACAACCAACCCATAGAGAACGGGAGAGTGGAGCCAACTCAAATCCAGTCACCCCTAGTCATAGCCATTGGTTTTGCCTAGCAAACTAGGGTGGACTGGCCCGATTATGAGCTAGTTTTAGTTCTTGGACCTGCTGGCAGGAATGGATTTAGGCGCCCACCCCTTCTAATTTCAAATTTTTTGTACGTAATATTTTCATAATTTTTTACTCCCTCCATCCCAAAAAGGTTTGTCAAAATGACTTTTCTTGGTCAATGGTAGGGGTGGACCGGTTCCGGTTCGGGCCCGGTTCGGGCCTGGGCCCGGCCGGGCCTCGGTTCAGAAAAAGGAGGCCCGAGCCCGAACCGGTGGTGGGCGGTTCCGGTTCGGGCCAGAACCGGGCCGGGCCGGGCCGGGCCGGGCCACCCGGAATGTTTTTTTTTTTCTTCTTCTTCTCTTATTTAACCCCCTACCCCTCCCCCTCCACCCCAAACCACCTCAAATGGCCCAAAATACCTAATCCAACCCAAAACTTAAAAAAATTTCAAAAAAAAAAAAAAATTAAATTCCGGCCCGAACCGGGCCCGGCCCGGCCGGGCCGGTTCACTAAACTGGAGGCCCGGGCCCGGACCGGTATACCACCGGGCCGGGAGGCCCGAACCGGAACCGAACCGGTTTACCGGGCCGGTCCAGGCCCGCACAGTAGCGGGCCGGTCCGGTTCTGGGCCGGTTGGCCCGGCCCGAGTCCATCCCTAGTCAATGGTAATTAAGTTTGACCAACAACAATATCCAAGTCTTAGTCCCAAAAGATATTGGGGTCGGCTAACATGAATCGTTACATGATATCACCACCAAAAGGAAAAGAAAGAAAATAAAGATAAAAAAAGATAATCTATTTTAAAAAAGATAATATAAGAAGAGATAAATATACCAAAAAACGATAAAATAAAAAAGATAAACATAATGTTTATATATATAAGGATAAAAGGATAAAAAACAAGAAGAAAAAAAGATGAGGGGAAAAGATAACACGAGATCACTCTTTCATATGAATACCTGTCCTTCACTTTGATCTCTCCAAAGTCATACTTTCATCCAGCCCTAGAAGAAGCATATCATTTCGGACTCCCCTAACCCACCTCTGTTTGGGCCTTCCTCCCCCACTCTTCCCTGCCTCTTCTCCACACATCTCAACTCGTCTGAGAGGTGCATCACTCGGTCTTCTACGCACATGACCAAACCACCATAGGCGTGACTCCCGCATCTTGTCTTCAATAGGTGCTACTCCCACCCTTTGTCAGATTGTCTCATTCCTCATGTGATCCTTCCTAGTATGCCCACACATCCAACGTAGCATGCCCATCTCTGCCACACTCATCTTTTGAATGTGACATTGTTTCACCGCCTAACACTCTACACCATACAGTAATGCAGGCCTAATTGCTGTCCTGTAAAATTTACCCTTCAGTATAGTCGGCATACCTCTATCGCATATAAATCTTGACGTACTCTTCCACTTCATCCACCCTATTCTGATTCTATGGGATACATCTCCATCTAACTCACCATCATGAATTATGGAGCCCAAGTAACGGAACATATCGTTCACCGGTATCTCCTTACCATCTAGAATGATTCCGCTATTACCACTGCTTCTACCTACACCAAACTTGCACTCCATGTATTTTGTCTTGTTTTGACTTAGTCTTAAACCCTTGTTCTCCGATGTTTGTCGTCATACTTCCAACTTTACTTTAGGACCTGATTGCGTTTCATCAATCAATACATTATCGTCGGCAAACATCATGCACCACGGTATTTCGTTTTGAATTGATTTCGTAAGTTCATCCGTGACTATGGCAAATAAGAAAGGGCTCAAAGCCGATCCTTGGTGCATTCCTATAGTAATAGTACGGACACTGGTAGTACAATCCTCATATATATTCATGATGATGTTGATATACTTGTGTGATATGCCTTTTCTAGTTAAGGCCCACCAAAGAACTTCTCGACGTATCCTATCATAAGCCTTTTCTAAGTCAATGAACACCAAATGCAGATCTGAGCGTCTCTATACTTCTCCATAAGTTGCCGAAGAAGGTGAATGTCGTCAGTTGTTGAGTGACCCGGCATAAAACCGGATTGATTCTCTGAAATATTCACATATCTTCGAAGTCTTTGGTCAATCACTCGCTCCCTAAGTTTCATGGTGTGACTCATAAGCTTAATCCCTCGATAGTTGGCACATTCTTGAACATCGCATTTATTCTTGAATAAGTGGATAAGAGTACTCTTACTCCAACTCGTTGGCATCTTGTTTCTCCAAATCATGTTGAAGAAACTTGTTAACCACACGACACCTCTCTCTCCCAAACTTCTCCAAGCCTCGATCGGTGTGTCATCTGGAAATTATTTTTTAATACGAAATTATTTTGAATATGAAAATTATATCAAAATGCTCTTTATTCAAAATATTGTCATAAAAGTACAAAATTCACAATTTATATAGAAATATAATAAAGTCATTATCTAAAGTTTGTCATCATTGATCAAGAAAAGTCAATATGACGAACCTTTTCGGGACAGATGTACTATAATTTAAATAAATACCTATGCATTTGCCCCTATGATTTTTGGATTCCCAAATTAATTAGTGTTACACAATATATAATACACAATAGGAGTCGTAAAAGGAGAAAAATCTAATGCAGTTTCTCTTGAAGAACTATTTTAGTTAAGTTTAGTTTTTTTCATTCAAAACAATATTATTGTTATTAATTTCTTGCCTTTGTCAAATAAATAACAAAATATACTCATTGGCAAACTAATATTAAAATGCTATAAGCAATTTTTATGAACTGAATTCAAAATATAAATGTTTATATGACATTAAAATTACACGAATTCATTGAGCTCCAACTTTTTTGATAAGACTTTATTTCATAATAGTAAAGTTAAAAATATTTAGCATAAAACTATTTGAAAAATAATATTTTTTTACATACTACTGTATTATTAAAAATACTCCTCATGACTTATAAGCACTCAGGGCGAACAAGAAAGTGTGATTCAATTTTTTTTATTCTAATATAATTCATACAGTGAAACAGTGCAAAGGTCATTTAAATAAACAGTGAAAAGGTCATTTAAATAATATAGGTGGACGTGTACTTGTCCCTTTATCTTTAAATAAACTGATAAAAGTTAGCTAAATATAATTTATTACCATCTTCGTCCCGTTGGAAGGTTCACATGGACGGCATGGTTATTTGAACAAAAATCGAATAAGGTAGTTCGAGCATATGTTACGGAGTAATAGGTATATAATATAATAGGATTAAAAATGTATTATTGTAGTAGTTAATGATTAATTTATTATTTAAGATTATTTAAGATTGACGTCCAAAAAAGAAAAGTATAAACATTTCTATGGGAAGTAATAGTTATTACTGTTATTCCATTACAATACTCAATACTATATTATTATTATTATTGTTATTATCATCATCATCATCGGTACAATTAGCATCATTATTCATATCATATTATTAGTGGGGTTTCGAAAAATATTATTAAAATAAAATGTATTTACACAAATATGACTAATAGTGACTACAATTAAATTTAAAACTTGAACATAAGTCACTATGATTTTATTACTACTCTAGTCACTAGTCACATTTTTATAAACAAACTTTATTTTAGTCATACATATGTAATTACTTCTTACTAATAATATTTACAATGTTATTTTATTACTTATGTCATGCACACATTGCTTGCGAAATAAGAGTTCATATGTAATGTCATGTGTTGTATAGTGCAACTGTACAATAGGTGATATTTTTGTAATTTAGGTGAATGTCATGACTTTTGTTAATCAAGCATAAATAAAATTGTATTGTGCATCAGACAGTCAGACCTAATTTGTTGAGTCTTAAAGGTCTAATATTGAGTATCACGATTTTCTTATTTTTTTAAAAAAAATCTTCAATTATACTTCTATCGTCTTAATCGATTTTGCCAATATAATTTTCCTTGTTTATTTGTCCTCAAAACATTGTCACTTTTGTGTT